GGGAAAGATTAGTGTTGTAGTGAGTGACCTGCAGAGTGGGAGTCAGTCTGTTTGTGGTATATATTTACAGAGCAGATGATGTGTTGATTTTGAGAGAACAAAAAATGATTTTGATGATGAAATGATTTTTTTTTTAAATTGTGTTATTGAATAGACTAATATTTGACATATGTTTCCATTTAATTGTGTTATTGAATGGACTAATATTTGACATATGTTTCCATTTTCTCCAGGTATTTCTATTAGGGGGTCAACCACAACCTGATTGTGACAGTTCACACCCAAAACCCACCCAGAGTAGGTCAGCATTAATTCTTCCTTTTTATTTAATTTTTCTCTTAGTGTGTATATATATATATATATATATATATGCTAGAAAATGAAATAGGCATTAAATGTAATTAAGTTGTGTTTTTTGATAATTATTTAACTTTTGGAAAACATTGCTTTTTACTACAACAAGAATTTGTGTGTGTTTGTGTGCAGCAGGAGGATGGCGGTGAATGTCTACTCCACCTCTATGACCATAGAGAACATGAGTCGCCACGACATGTTGGCGTGGGTCAACGACTCCCTGCAGCTCACCTATACAAAGATCGAACAGCTGTGTTCAGGTAAACGCTGCGGTCAAGTTTAAATCACGCGTTTAGATTCTGAAGGCAAATGTATGTATTTAGAAAAAAAATAAAAAAATTCCTCCACAGGCACCGCCTACTGCCAGTTCATGGACATGCTGTTTCCTGGCTGCCTGTTGATGAAGAAAATTAAATTCAACTCAAAACTGGAGCATGAATACATTCACAATTTCAAGGTCCTACAGGCTGCGTTCAAGAGAATGAACGTAGACAAGGTGAGAACACACACACACACAAACACACACCTGGTCAATATCCAGGTACGGTAGGTGAAATTTACTGACACCTCAGGTTCTGGTCAACACCTGACGCCTGAACCTCCGTCTTTGGTTCTCAGATCATCCCAGTGGAGAGGTTGGTGAAGGGCAAGTTCCAGGACAATTTTGAGTTCCTCCAGTGGTTCAAGAAGTTTTTCGACGCCAACTACGACGGGAAAGAATACGACCCTATACTTACACGGCAGGGCCAGGAGGGGACGCCGATACCTACAAGCATAGGTACGAAGTATATGTATATTTATGGTGGGGGCGGGTAGACACAGTCAGCTATGTATGTGGTTGCTTGGTTTCAGTGCTCTCACCTCTTCATGCATACACATCCCCACCTCTAACCCAGGTGAGCCCATCCATCACAAACCCAAACGACCCGCTCGTTCAGGTAACATCCCATATCCATCCTGTGTGTGCCTTTGCCTTTGCCTTTTTTGTCTTTTACCAACTCTTCCACACAGGGTTCCCACATGTTCTGGAAAATTGATGAGTAATTTTCAAGTCAGGGAAAAACAACTCTTCCTTGAAAATGATTGTATGACTCTGAAGTGATCTGTCCTATTGTAGCAGATGGAAATGTGATTTTCACGGAAAAGTGGAAACCCTGTTATTCTCTGTTTTGGTTGCTTTTCCAAACAATGTCAGCAAAAAAAAATGTAAATTTTAAAGATTTTTTTTTTACCTTAGTAAATTGACCGGACTTTTCAGTTTCTTTTAAGAAAACCTTGAGAAAAACGTTCCACTTAAGTTGACAAACTAAATTAATGGAAGACACAGACGCCCCCTGGTGGCTTGTTGAATTAACTGCAAGCTGGCCAGCTTTTTAATAACTAATCTTTTCTTGTATTGTTTTATAATTAATTAATATCCACACCACACACATTTGACAGCATTTGTAACATAGATATTCTAAGTGTTTTTGTTCTTCGCCATGTCATGTAATATTGCTTATCGTCTGTCTAGACACTGATGCTAACCAGTGTTGAAGTTAACACGTTTGTTCTCATTAAATAACCCTAACTATTATAAATGTTTCTGCTACTTTGACTGCATTAGTCTGAGCTGTGTACATTTAGACAGATGCTGCATGTGGTTAGTGGGACTGGTTTACATGATAATTAAATCCTGACACTATGTAAATAATTTTTGAGACAGATGTAATTGTTTAAGTTTAATAACTTTAGTTTAAGATTTTTTTAACAAATGTTAAATATTTGAATTTCAATTTTTACCTTACTACAGTACAGAGATGTTGATACATAATATTATGATTGATAGTCTGAAACAAAAGCAAAAAAGAGGAAGAAATTGTGACACTCTTGCTCGTGGCATTTTGAATCTAGATTGCAAAATATTACAGAAAGCTGATGAAAGATGAGTTAAAATACCACATAGTAGGTGTTGAAGTACTTTATACTAACACTTGAAATACTGACTAGGAATGGAAGTCGTTTACATGTGTCTGGATTTTGTGGTTTCTCCAGGCTCCATGAGAACGTCCCCCACAACTCCCAAAAGCGTCCCCCCGCCACAGAGACAGAGCGTAGCAATGCCCCGCAGGAACCCTCCCATGACCCGGAACGGAGGGGATTCTGACATCATGGAGCTCCACCAGCAGGTACTGAAGCTGGGAGTTTTCAAAAACTGTCTTTCCTCTGACCTTTGACCTGCGCTTGAGGCCCTTTTCTCCTGGTCTGTGTCTTTCTCTAGGTGCTGGACCTGAAGCAGACAGTAGACGGTTTAGAGAAGGAGAGAGACTTTTACTTTGGAAAGCTGCGCGACATCGAGCTCATCTGTCAAGAGAACGAAAACGACGGCAGCCCGGTGCTCAGCAAAATCATTGACGTACTGTACGCTACAGAGGTAAATGTGGACGGATTACTACAAATATCATTCAATTCAATTAGACTCTTTTGCCGTACAGTTTGTTGACTTGTGTTTACTTCAACAGGATGGATTTGCACCTCCAGAAGATGAAGAAATTGACGGAGCACGAGGAGACCAGGAGGAGTTCTGAACGCCTCCTCGTCATCTCCATCAGTTTGTTCCCTTTCCGACTTATTTACCCGTTGACCCACCTGATCATCATCATCATCATCATCATCATCCTTCCTCATCTTTTTATCATTTTATTTATCTCCCTTTTTACAGTCTTCCCTCACACATGAAGTTTAACTTCCCTAAACTTTCAAGTACTTGTGAAGGGAGACTAAAACCTGACCGGTGTGGACCCCGGTCCAGTATCTTGGTTTGTCTTACTCCCGGTCAATGGAACCAGAGTGTCGCCACTCTGGTTACAGCACTACACGATTTGTGTCAAACTGACGTCGAGTCCATGCATGAGCTGGTCCAGCATGTTTGAAGAATAGAAGTATAACTGAACAGTATTTGGACAAACTACATTTAAGTTTTAGTTTTAACTGATTGTTAAAAACAGGATCCAACAATAGGGTGTGTGATCATATTTGTTGTCTTGTTGATGTTAAGTCCCATGTCTTTGTTTGTGTCTCTGCTCGTTTTAGAGTCCAGGCTAATTTAATACTACATTTTTATTTAAGCCTCAGTACAAAGGAGAGCCACAACAGTTTCAATAAGAAGCTAAATCTTTAGAAATTTAACTTATCATTGTCACGCTCTAAAAATGTATCGTAAATAAAATTAAAAGAAAAACAGGGTAAATATAATACCAAAAAGTATTATATAAATATGAATATAAAACACTAGTCATGTAGCGTATTACATGTTACAATTGGATACAAAATTTTTATGTCCTGTTAAAACTCTTCATTTAGCAAAAGCATGCTATTTTGGCGCTAATGCTCCTACACACTAGTGCGACACGTGATTAGGAAGCTAATGTGGTTTGTCCAAATGATGTTTTTTGTACCGCTCATGCCACAACACACAGCACTAAAGAGCTATTTCAGCCTTGCTAGCCTTTCAAAGGTTTAAACAGAGACTATATTAACAAATGAACACATGCTTCCAGATTTGAGATTGTTTCAAAGGAGCAGTTGGCCACCAGGGGGCGGCTGCAGTGATTGCAGAAAGCAGCCAATTCTAATCTTGATCGATGACAAAAGTACAGTAGAAAGTTTAATGGCGTGGTTATGAGAGTCCCAGGCACGATTCTGTAAATTAGTGTTTGATTTAAAGATAAGAAAAAAAATAGATGACAAAAGTGGAAACCTTGTGATTGACAGCTCGCTCGATTCAAGAAGGGCACGTACTCCCTGGCTATGTGAACCTGCTGATAGGAATTGCTGAATTTAAGTTTTTGAATTTCACACGATTTTGCAAAGGTTTTGTGTGCGGTCTATTGGTTTGACTTGGATTTCAGTGAGATCACAGGGTTCCAGCTCTGACAACAGGAAGTCGCTTTCAGTCACCGTCAACCCTGACTGGTGACCTCACACTGAAACACGCACGCATACACGCGCATGTCAGGGTTCTGTTTGACCAGATGAAGCTCCTTTCACTGAATGTCTTCAGACGGTGAGATTATAAACGGTTCAAAGTCCCTCAGAGCAGAAAGAACTGCACCTTTGTATCAGATGTCTGTGCTTCATTGACATTCAGCCAGATTACATATCACAGACTTTCTTACATGTGTAAAAAAAAAACCAAAAAAAAAAAAACAAGTCATCATTCCCAGGAAAAAAGAGGAAAAGAAGAAGAAAAATCATCTCATATAATCGTTCTAACTCCCACCACAGGGTAGGGTTTGCTAATGAAACTGTACTGACAGCTTGTTTATGAGGCAGCATGATGTATTTATGGTTTTATTTATTTATTTTCTTAATCTGCTCTATACAGTTTTTTGGAAAGAAGGAAAAAAAACATATTGTTTTGGACTAAAGGGGAAATTGAATGTCTTGCACTAAATGTAGCAAAAACAAACGGAGTGAAGTTATTGAAAATGCCAAGACGTTTTTTTTTTGTTTTTGCGAGGAAGATACAGGAACATGTAGTTTTGTATTTTTGAGAGTTTTCTTTTCTTTTGGAAAAAGGTTTGTTTCTCTTTTTTTTTTTTTTTTTTGTTCAATTGTATTTAATTTGCACTCACTTCCTCAGCGGCCAAGTCGGGGGTTTTAGTGCTTTAGCTATTTATTAGACTGTGGTCAGATTTGAGTTTTATGAATGAACAAGGTAAAACAGACTGACACTACTAAATACTAATGTTTGACTGCGTACGTTGAGTTAAACATTTTAGCTGCTATCCTTTCTATTCTGTTGCGTTTTTTTTTTTTTTAGCAGAGTTTTGTTGTGTAGCGGTGGCTGCCAACACTGACGGCGAGGTTGACGGTGAGCTTAGTGTGACTGGCCTTAGTCGGACTGGTCTGATAGAACTAGACATTCAACACTGTCAGTTTGTTTTTGTCATGACAGCCTTGTGGTGAACAAACTTTGATGTCACTGCTTGAATGCAATAAAGTTCTGGAGGACAAGAAACATGTCTGTCGTCTTCTGATGTGTAGCTGTAGCTGTGTTTGTACGTTCCAGTGGAATTAATGGGTAAGCAGGAAATGTGGTAATCTGTAATCAGCAAAGTTAAACCACTCAGTCCACGGTGAGGTCGTATATTAACAATCAGCATTTTAACAATACACTTTGAACAAAATAAAAATGTCAGTTTAACAAAACCTCCACGGTTTTGACATTTTTCTGTTTTGTCAGAACTGGTTATTCAAAATTAGCAGAAAAAAATGCTAAAGGTTGGCCTAGAAAAAGCAATTGAATATATTTTAAATTTAACTCAAATGCTTTTGACAGGATAGAAAAAAACAAAAGGTTCACAAAAAATTTAAAATACATGCTAATTTGGGCCAAAACATCTTAAAAATTAGCCTTGGAAAAAAAAGTTGTGATAAGGTATAAGTTCTACTCAAATATATTTGGCAGGTAGGTCTTAAAGAATACGAACCTGTGACTAAGACTAATAAAGACGTCTAGTAATGTCTTACAACAGAAACGAACAAGTTAACGTTCCTGACGCGTCACTGTGACGTATTGCCAACAAAAAAGAGACGTGGCACGTTTTACGTTTAAATTATCACAAGCCTGTGATTGGGCGTTCCGTCAGTCAACACTGACTGAGTGGATTTCTTTAACCCGGACTGTAGTCCACCTGAAGCGGAGACATGGCTTCGAATAACGGCGCAGCCACCGGCAAATGGGAGGTCGTGAAGAAGGGAAAGAAAAACGGTAGCTCGGCAAAGAACCAGAATGACAAGAAGAACGGCAGCGCAGGACGGAAAGCGCTGGGTGAATCCAACGTGCTGTCCAGACGTAAGTAAACGCGGCCCACCTCCTTCCTCTGCGCCAGCTTCCGTTAGCCGTAGCTAACCGCTAACTCTAGTTATCTGTCAATTTTTTTAAAGAGTAATTGTCGGTAATTAAATGAATGAAGTCGAGGTGGTAGTCATACTAACGTAAATTCTTTTTACACTAAATTTACTGTATTTTTACTAAATGACCATTTCGCGAAAGAAAATATATGACAAGATTGGCTAGCTTGTAAGGATAATATCCATCAGTCAGTCGATTTTCATATACAGAAACTGCTTTTATATATTTTTTTGTTTTTAAAAGCAACATAACACCACACGGTTTTCTTGGTTTCTTAAAAAAAAATTAAATGCAGCACAACAGAACGTTGCCCACGGAAGTTTGCGCTTTGTTAGCAGCGATTTAATCACTACGTGTATCAAAACAGGCGTCGTCATCACTACGAAGAACCGTCTTTAGTTTTAAATTAATTTCATAAAAAATAATTTTGTCTGTTTTGGTGTTTGCGCGGTTTCAAACGTCATAAAACGCCTTTAATTTCATAAAAAAATATAATTTTGTCTGTTTTGGTGTTTGTGCGCGGTTTCAAACGTCATAAAACGCCTTGATTTGTCTCTTTTAAAGGTTTAACGGTTTGTAGACATTAGCTTATTAGCCGGTTAGCCCTCAGTGACAGCTGTCACTTATTGGTGAAGTAGCTAAAGAGAAAGCTTTAATGCATAATTACACCGAACAAAATGGAAAAAAAAGTTATCTTAAAAAAAAAAAAAAAAATTGGATCGAAAATCTGTCAACTATTCCAATATTTAGAATTTTCTAACCCCAGCACCGTACCAGGTAGTGGGTACTTGTGAAGATTTGACGATTATCTCCCCCGCTTTCGCTGCGATTTGTTCAAACACCACGTTTGTCAGTCGGTCAAAGTCTAACTGTTGTCTGTTAAAGGTCCACTGTGTATAAATTAGGCGAATTGAAGTTTCTTTTCGACGCAATATGATATAAAATAGATTGATTAAAGCTTTACTCAGCATATACTTGCTTCAAAGTGTGTTTTTCTTACCACCCAAGGGATCCCTAATATATACACTATATATGGTATACATTTGTTTAATATAAAACAAGGTCCAGTGCCTTTATTTGTTAGTGCTAAGTATTAAAATAATACAAAGGTTTATCTTGTTTTTTTTTTTGTTTTTTTAGCAGGGGTCAAAAACCCAATTAACCCTTTACTTTACGACCCCCTGTTGTACTTAAGCAGACTCCCTATGGGTTGTGAACCCCTAGTTGAAGACCTCTCACCAGTCGGATGATGGAGTGATTTCAGGTGTTTGTCAGCTGATTGTGTAGAGTGGTGTAATTGGAGCAGACGTACAGTAGCAGAGCTCGTCCCTCTCTC